TTGTGCTGAGAATTGAAGGGTGCCAACTGCAAATGAACCATAGCCTCCATCTGCCGAATCATCCTGAAACTGAGTAAGTTACCTGGAAAAAAAGCCCCTCTAGACTCAGAGACCAGTGACACTGGGCATACAAAACTTTGGAAATGGCTGCACAGAGAGTGCCTGTGCCATGCTAATTTGGCTCCAGTGTACGTCTGCTTCACAAAACAAATCTGTAACCACAGGATCACCTGCAGTTTTTCTCCCACAAGACCTGTGCCCTGCTCAGTCCTCAGGATGGTTCTGCTCACTGAATGCAGCATTAGTCATCATTTCTTTGCATTATCATTCAAGTTGCTTCCCTGTTCCCTCCTACTCTCTTCCCCTTTATTTAGTATGCTCCATCCAACTACTGCCAGCATGGATTACACTGGAAGTACCTAATCTTACTGTCCTTACCACTCTCACAGCCTCTGACGTGCTCAGCCTTACATTTCAGCGAGGCAGGGAAGCACTCCGCTCCATGCAGCAGATGGGGGAGGGAGGCTGGAAGAAGCAAAGAGCCTTAACAAAGTCACAGAGAAAATCTGCATGAGCAGGGAGCCAAACATGGCTCTTCAACTCCCAGGCTGACCCCCTGCCCCAGAGAGATCCCTTCTCCTGACCTGCAAGAACAAATTTTAATCTCTTCCTGAAATTGTTTCTGGTGTTCATCTGTGGAGCTGGAATGCTTGGCAAGCACAGAATTAATCTTTGCAGGATGACTGGAAGAAGGTTTTCCTGAACAGACATGGGAAAATAAGTGAAGAAAAAATTGGATCTGAATGTCTTCTCCTTGTGGGTGACTGTCTCGAGACTTGCACGTTTCTGTTTTCCCACTCATCCCTGCATGGCACAGGGGTATCCACAGGGGAATTCCTCCTGGCCTCCTTCTGCTTTTGGGAACACAGGTCAGACCTGAGGTCTTGGGCTGAGCACCCAGAAAACACAGAATACAAACTCAGCTGGCACGATAGTACATTTGAGCTCAAGACTCTGGAAAAGCATTGAGAGGAACAGAGTAGTAGAGGCAGAACAGGATCCAGTTCTCCAGGGCAACATTTGAAGACTTAGCCATAAAACTATTGTGATTTTTCTGCAATTACCTGCCTCATTTACTACACACCTTTTAATTTTGACAAACAAAGAGGAAGTCATATAGGCAAGAGTATACCTTATTCCACACTCCTGATTCATGTCGCATCTCTGTGCACTGAATGAGGCAGACATGCTTTGTGAAAAATAGGTATGATCGATCCTTCAGTTAGATACAGCATCAAAATACACATGCAACAGAGGTAAGGCTGAAGTGCTGAGACATTTCTTACATTCTGTGTGCTAGCTTTTGCAGTTAACAAGGAGTCTAACTCCAGGTTTGTTTTTACTGCACTGTATTGCCTCGTATGGCAGAGTCTGCAGCAGTATCTGATGCGTAACGTGTACGTTGCACATGATCAAAGGCTTGAGTGTCATCTTCTTCCCGGGAACAATGACTGCCTAAAGCAGCAGGAGCAGAAGTTATGTAAAGGTAGGGTTAAACAAACCTCCTTCTCCCCTCTGGGGAGAGTAAGCAGTCCAGGTGAGCAAGGTAGGAGGGGAGAACAGTCTGCTTTGTGCTAGGCAGGCAGAGAGCGCCACATAAAAGCACAGGAGCTTTGCAGAAGCATGTCCTGACTCCCATCACTGGAGACTTAATGATGGTAATTCCCAAAGGATGATGCATGCTGACAGGCTTTGACACAAACTACCCCAGGATAATATTAATATGTATTAAAGGCTCAGGCAACTTTATTGGGACGGGCTTGATCAGAAACACATTTCAACAGACCTTTATCATCTGCTGGAACATAAGTAAGGGAGGGAGGGAGAACACATGAACAACCTCACCTTGCTCTGGGTAGGTTTTGGAGACAAACAAGGTTGATCTGTGAGATTAACTGCATGCTTGGCTTAACTCAGACACTGGACCAAGAACCTTGGATGCTCCACCAGGAATATGAATGTCACCATGGGGTGGTGTCTGTCTGCATGGTCAGCATCCCTAACCCTCCAACATGTGGCCTTTTGCTATGCATCTGGAACATCCACTCCTTGGAAAGGAGAGGAGAGGTGCTTAGGGAGGCAGTGTGGGGGCTCTGCTGTCACAGCACTGGGGGAAGGGGGAGTGGAAGAAAGAACCACGGAAGCCTTTGATCATGTGTAATGTTAATGCCAAGTGTTGCACATCAGAGACTTTGCCAGGGTAACTAGCATATAAACAGGAGCCTAGTGTTAACAAGGAGGACTTCTTGAATATGTTTGTACATTTCTGAGTCAAAGCAATTTCCCTACTCAACAATACATGACACAGTGGAAGAAGTTCAGAAATAAACCAGCCTGACATGCTTAGACCTTTAATAGAATTTGGCTTCTTAGAAGTAATTAAATGTTACTTAAATGAAAAAATAAAAAAAATAAAAAAGAAAAAAAGTCCAAGTACTTGGGAAAGGTGCCAATTTGACAGCTCTGGAGAATGAAATAATCTAATCATCCTCAGAGCATGGGCAGCAGCAGGACAGGCTTCCCTTACTAACATGCCTCGAACGTGACCTGGAAAGGCTGTTGATAGAAAAGGGGTGTACAATCTCCGTGGTCTAATGACTCCTGGCCTTTTCTGCTGAGACAGCTAAAACAGCAGAGTGCCAGCTGTGGTGGGGATACAGACACCTGTCTGGTAGGAATGACGCTGGGACCTGCCAAACTCCTGTCATCTGTTAGCCCTCCACTGCACCACAGCGACTCTCAGCTCATTGCTCAGCCTGGGAGCAGGGGCTGACTGCAGCAGCTCTATGGCCTGTCCCACCTTGGACATGCTCCACTCCAGCCCACAGCATGTAAACAGGAGGTACTGTGTTTAGTCTGCAGGTTTGGGCTTTCACTGCACCAAAGCTCAGCCTCAAGAGAAGGCAGTCGCTGGCTGCTGCAGAACCAAGGTCAGGATTTTTCAGGCTCTTATTTCTCCCCTAAGATAGGGGAAAAGCCCACAGGAGGAGATGCTTGCCATCTCTCTTTCTATAGTCTCTCCATTTACTTGTCCTTGCAACAAGCCCCTGCACTGCAGTGATCTGCTTTCAGCCACCAGCTCTCCTTGGAGCTCATTGCTGCGCCTGGGGTCCCAAGCAGGGGAGGAGGAAAATCCTCTCCGGGCCTTGCTATGAAAGCTTTGCAGGGCTTGCCAACTCAGCCAGCCCAGGCTGCAAGGGACTAAACCAAACACAGCTCGCCTCCTTGGAAATTTTATGCACCAGAACTTCTTTTACTTCTGAAGCAAAGCTGCATGAACCTCCCTCCTCTACTCACACCACCACACGGGACTGCTGAGCACAGATGAAGCCTCCCATTGCATATTAAGCCAAGAGCCTCAGACACTCCCACATGTATATCGCACAACTGGGTGCTCCTCCAGTTGTCCTGTGCTGCTTTTAGCTTCCCTTCCTCCCCTACCCAGTCTGTCCTCCTTCATGCTCATCACAGGACAGGGCAGGAGCCAGCAGTGAAGCCAGTCACGTCAGATGAGAAAATCCAATACATTGACCTTGTGTAGGAGACAAGCGAGGAAACTTGCTTCTCATTGCTGCTCAGAAGCCAGCAATTCTTCACCTTTCCCACCAACCTACTCCAAAAATCTTCCAGAATTTTCCACCAAACAGACATGGAATCAACCAGGTTCATAAGGGTTAACATGTCTGAATGGTGACCTGATCCTTGCCGTTATTCACAATTTAGAGGTTACCTGACTACTCTACACATCAATACATTTCAAGATGTGATGTAAATGCAAACAAACACTTATGTTTGGAGTTAACACAGTCACAAGATCCTGTGTATCATGTGTTGGCAAGCACAGGGACCAACAGCAAATGACCCACCCTTAAACCTGACCCTTTGTTGTTAATCATTAGAGGAGCGTTGCGCTTTTCAGTCAGTACAATCAAAGCACGCAAGCTCTTTGAAAATCCCTACACACAACATGATTCTAGCCAAGATCAGCTCCTTTACAAGTCATATAGATTTCAAGGTATGATGTCCTCCAGACATATGAACAGGGGCAGTGGAATGCCTTGAAAACAAGTCACTGGAAGGTTAACTGCAACACTGCAATGCTAAAACAAATCTCTGCCTTCAAAACAGAAGTGGAGGCAGGAATGCCACAATAACAATGAAGGCAGAGACTTCATGCATGCATATAGTCCCGCAGAGATGGGCTTTTCAGCATAAACACATTCCTCAAAGCTTTTTTATTTTTGCAATATGTTCATAACCATGAAGAAATTCAAGGTCAGACTAGTGATACACCATCATATCATTAGTGCATCACTGCTCCATAGGGCTGACCCTCAACATTAAGCAGATGGGGAGCTTCCAAGGAAAAATCTGTGATACAGAAAAACTGGGTGCAGAAAACGTGTGGGTGCTTTCGTTGTGAAAGCTTTTGAGCTTTTGTCAAAGAATCCATTGGAAAGAGCTGAAACTGAAAGAAGCAGTGCTCTCTGTGCTGCTCCCCTGCTAGTGATGATGTAAAACCGAGATCTTGGCTCTGCAGGATCACAGTCCCACAGCTTTCTAGCTCTTCTGCCCTGGCTCCATTCTTGTTTAGGTCATTCCACTCTGCCTCCCCAAATTCCTTTCTGGAAGAAATCAAGAGTAAATACTGCCTGTAAAGTGTTCGCTGACTCCACAAAATGCACACTTACATTCACAGATGATTTTTTAACTTTCCAGCTACTACTCATCAATTTGAATTCCATTAATACAAATAGTTAACAGTTCACCATTATTTTTTGAGTCCATAATTACTGAAAATATTATGCAAGAGCTATAAGAGATGGTGCAGCAGAAAACACAAGTTTGTTACCCTTTTAAACCACAGAAGCCCTTAGCAGGATCAGTTTTAGGACACACTAAAGGAGGAAGGGGGAGAAAAAGGAAGGAGGCTCTCTCACTTGTAACCAAGGTCCATGTGCTGCATAGGGGTGCTCTTCTGTAGCAAAGGCTCCTTCTACTCCCGTTGATACAAATGTGATTGCTGTATCCCCTGTAATACTTTTATATGTAAAGTGCCGTCCATGTAAGAGCCTTCCCCTGGGGAATGAAACATACGTGTGTGAATTGAGAGGGTATGAGCAGCAAACAACAGAATGATGAAGACTGTACCTTCTGCCATCAGCATGGGAAACCTTTTTGAAGGCAGCAACTATTAATTTTTCTGCAATATATATGTATGATTTGCTCCACAAAGCAGGTCACAAGCCTCCTGCCGAAGCTGGGAGTTCCCCTTTATCTCCCCCCTTAATCTCAGGGCCTTGTTACAGAACTAGAATACATCTACAGCCCACTGCATGCCTGTCACCATGATGAGGTGCTGACGTATGTAAGGGCAGGGGACTACCAGTCTTTCAGTAAGATGAAAACTGTGAGAAGGGAATCCGGACTCCGTATCATGTGGGAATCTGAAGATGAATTTCTAAGCAGGCTTATCGGTGGGGCTAAACTTACCTACTGTGACAATACCTACTAATCCATTGCCCTGGTGCTTTATAAATGTAATCTGTATTAAGCAAATGCCTAGAAAACATGCATACCTGACTGTCTAAAGTATCATTTCCCTTTTTTTTCCGTCAGTGCTTTCCACAAGGAAAATCATGGTTCTGGTATTTAGGTTCAGAGCATGTGTAACACGCACGCATGGCTTCCAACATGCAAGGGGGAAAACTTCAGGTAAGATACATTGCGCCTAACATCCCAGTTGCTTGATGAGTTACTGCTGGTCAGCTGAGATGTGGTAACTGATGAGACAGACCATTCACACAGTTGTGATGTAAAATAGAATATATTCATGTTAACTATCCCACTGGTTTCTCAACAGGCACAGGCAAGTGTGCACCAGCTGCTGATAACTCTGATACTACAGATATGTAACTCATTAAGCTGAAGTAACTCAGTCACCTACAACCATTTGTCTCAACCCCCAGTTCATCTTTATGTTAAGGACTATGATATTTGCCACAGGTATTTTTAAAAATGCTGCTGACTGAACTGTGGAAACTCGGAAAAGTCACTTGCAGTGGTATGTGAAGCCTGAACCTTCAAAAGACAATGTTCAGAGTACACACGCGATGTTTTTGCTCCTTCTGTCATGTATGTGACATAATTTGGCTGAAAAACACACTTGCACGCATGAACTGACTGCAAACAGACTTTGCACAACCACCTGTGTCTGAGCCCATAAGCCAGAATTAACAACTTAAGGGATTTCTTTGACAGAGAATGTTAAGACATCCCTTCTTTATCACAGAGTTGCCAGTGTTACATTAATACCCCCCCCCCCCCCCCCCAACCCTGTCCTGTTTCAGCACTCAAAATACACTGAAGGACATAAAAAGAATGAGAAACAATCTTACCCTGATGAACGCACATGCAAAGAATCATCTGTTTCTAATGTGTTTTGGCAAAATGTCTCAGCTCTGGCCTTTAAAGACCCATTGCATGCATGTCTGTATGGTGAAACAACGCCACAAGGCAAAAGCAGCATGTTAGCACAAGCTGAGGAGGAGGACAGCTTCGCTCACCTTAGACAGAGGGGAATGAGTGCTCCGGACTCCTGGTTAAATTTCAGGTGTACACTCTCCAGCTGTCTTGTGCGGATTAGCTCATGAGGAATGATAGCTGCTGAGCTCTCGCTCTCTAAGCTGTCCTTACGGCTTCTAAAAGAAGAGACAAAATGCACGTATTTAGGATCCCAGTGCTGTGTGCTTTCTGCTGTGTTTCAGAGCGATTGTGTGAATGCTGAAGGACACAGGAGCAAACTGTACAAATGCACATCTGAGTTTTCATCACTCCTACAGAGACACAGCCTCCCTCAGCCCCAGCATGCAGCTCTTCACCTTGATTTGACGACCTGGGATCTCAATTGGGGCACACACATGGTACATCCCTTCCCAGCATACAAGAACTAAAATTTCCGGAAAGAACGGGAGCAAACCTACGTTCTCCAAAACCCCTTAAAATGGCTTGGAAGAATTACCATGTGTGCCTTCCCTCCTGCTTTTGCTTTATCTTCAGGATTTTTAGGCAGTGGCCTGTAGGACAGAGTTGTCCATTCCCTGGTGCCTTAGCTTGAATATCTTTGAGGTCTGAGGCATCCCTAAGTCATTTCTTTGCACAGTTCAACCAAAAAGTTTTGAGAACCCTCCTCTTCCACCAGCATCAAGTGCAACAGCCAAAAGGTGGACTCTACATGTGACAAGTAGGACATATGAAGATTGTTTTCCCTTGTAAACAGAGCTGCTTTAAGACAATACAGCTTTGCTTTCTTATTCGTTCATTTCTGCAAGACCAGCATATTGTGAAGCTGGGACTAAAGGTCATGCTGTTACGTAATTAGGAACTTTGCCAGAAAGAATCCTCTAGATAATCCAACGGTATATCTCTAAATACTTGATCATAAACACTTTATATGTCCAAAGAGCATCAGTGCGATCCCTTACTTGATAGGCCAGAACAAAGAAAAGGGGGGACTACAATTTTTGCAGATGACAGACTGCTGTGATGTGCCTGACATGCGATGTATTTTTGTCACCTGGCATTCCATGTGAACTTAACAGAGGTTAAGACTTTGTTAAGATAGTTTTTGTAGCACAGAATCACCAGAGTAGGACAGGGAAAGGAGAAGGAAACTGGGAGATGCCACACTGCAATGTGTTTTCATCGTGTCAGACAGACAAAAAGCCAAACAAGGCTATCAGGCTGTGGCTCCATTTGGGAACACTGGTAAACGTGGCCTTTCCTCCACCTAAGAGGAACCACTTTAATGTAAATCTGGAAATGGTCATAAAGAAGCAGCCTGACCCTCACAAGCTGACTTAAATCACACCTTTACTTGATTTTACATTTGGGTTCTGTCCCAAAATAACTCTCATCCACCACTCTCACTGTAATATAGTTCAGTGTGGCTTCCAAAGCAGATCAGCCTGTTGTTTCGCCAGGTCACCCAGACCTAGGTGAGCCTTTCACCCAGACTGCTGAGCTGCCCACTCTGAAATGAGGATACAAGCTAAACTCTGATATCTCACAGTGCTCTCCTGCAAATACTCTGCATGGCCAGGTCAGACATGAGGAGAAAAAATAAACCAGAGCAGCTTGGCTGCCTGCAAGACAAAAAACTGAACCATGCCCCAGGTTCTGCCTTGGCAACACACGAAAGCACTGTGGGCCCAGCAAGGACACAGTAACTCAGAACACAGTTTATAAACAGGGTGGGCTGATGGACTGAGAGTCAGCAAGAGCCTCAAGTTTGGTGGCTTAACCCTGAAGCAAAGACACAACATACTTTGTAGTCTATAGGTGGCACTTAAATCTATGTTTAATCTACTTCAGCAAACATTTTACAGCTCTTTGTAGGTGGGGTCTTCAAAGAGTGGAGTGGGCCAGCATTTTACAGGCTGATTACCAGAGAAGTGCAGTTACAGTTGATTAATGATCAGTTGACCTTAAGCTAAGCTTTGCCTCAACTTCCTTATCAGATCTTATATACACAGTGAGCTGTGGGAAAGTCAGCCTGTGGTCTACAGCTTCCAATCATTCATTTATCAACCCCTACCAAAGGGTCACCCATTAGCAACGCATGATTTTCAAGCAGGCCATAAGCTTGCACTCATTAAATGCAGCTCCGAAGTTTATGCACCCTGGAGCAGATCAGGAGCTTTACAGCAATATTACTGCTATAGACAAGAGACTGTGCCCTTGTCACCTGGACCGCCTAAAAGTGCTGGGCATGTCCCCTTACAGCCTTCCAGGCAACTGCTGCTGTAGGTAGGTTTATGCATCAGAAGGACAAACAGACACAGGACAGTTCCCCATGCCCCATGGCTCCAAACCTCCCTGAGCCGAAGGTGGGATTTTAGGTTCCCACCATGCTATCCAGTACAGCCGCTAGCACAATGGGGCTGCAGTCCGGAGGGAAAACAGCCTCCGGTTGCTAATGCAATAATAGGAATGACGACAACATTCTGGAGGCAAGGGGCAAAGCTTTCTAAGTCTTATTAAAACCAGCAAATGCTGTTTGTCATTACATGCTCAAGAGAAGATGTTGACTAATGTGTAACTATCAAACGGAACTGTCATGACTTTAAGGCTGTCAATAATTATGACTTCACATTAATAAGTAACCAGCCCTTCTGTCAAAAAGGTGAAGGAGTGAAGCAAAATAGCAGTTAATACTTTGAATGACATGAAAGTATTAATCTTTTCCACAAAACCTTCCCAAAATAGTCACAGTCTCTGTGTTTCTCACACAATTTCAGCTATTTAAAGTTAAGGGTGAAGCTCCAATAGCAGAAACCAAATAATCATCTATCTAAGCTAAACCCTTCTATACAAGAGTTGTGTGTTGTGGACTGCATATAATACATCCAAAAGGCCACAGTGCAATTACTTGCAGACTCTGGAATATGTTGCATGACACAGGGACTTGGCATGACCCTTTAAAATTCTCTTTTGGAGAATGGAAATCCTTCCAAAGGGCGATGGCCCAGATGAAGGGTCAGCAGGACTTCAAGGTTGTTACTAATGAAATGCTCATGTCGTAACACACACTGCCATCCACAGCTTGCAGCTTTGAGCCTCAGAAGAAAATGTAGAAAAAGTTTGCTTCCTAACACTAACATCCCTGGTTTTACAACTGTCAGTTACCCGTAAGCCTTTGCTTCCTCCAGCCCATCACCAAATAAATCAGCACCAAAAGCCAGTGGAGTTTTACTTGTTATGACTAAGATCTAGCTGACTATCATGTAAAATGCTGCAAACTTTGTCTAATCCAGATTTAATACTTCATCCAACCCACACAAAAAAATTCATGTTTCTCAGTGTCCAGAAAAAACAAGTCTGGAAAAGCCAGGCTGCTGCATTAGGAAAGGCTGTAGATTTAAATGGAAGCGGCATGCCGGAAATGCCCCAGTTTAAGGACTGCACATCTCATGTTTTGTGAAACTGGAGGGGAGCTGGAGGAGATTAAAACGCATTTCCCTCTGATTGGGAGCTGGTGGGAGGTGTAAACGTGGGCAGTTGTCAGATTAATTCTTTAGATGATTACATTCTTTTTGTTTCTTTAAAGCTGTTTGTAGTTGGGTTTGATGTCTCCTGTTCTGGGCAAGTGTATTGCTGCAGTTACCAAGGTGACTTTAGCTGACTTTCAACTATTTTTTCCAGCTTAGGTTTCTACCAGTAGTCTGCTTCTGGGCAGAGGAGAGAGAGAGAGGAAATGAGGTTTGTTGGGGTTTTTTATTTATTTTTAAATCTCATGAATGCTGATTAACAGCCCATGAACTTAAACAAAGCCAAATCTAATTCTTCCCCCCTCTTTCAAGACAGGGGTTGTCAAACCTTTGCAAAGGTGTCCAATGTGGCCTGCAGCTTTCCCAGACCTCTGTCAACAGGGACAAAGGGCCTGAGGAGACTACATGTCCCAGCGTGCTGTGCTCCTTCTCAATGTGAGCCACACGCTGGAACCTGCTGCCTCCCGGGGGCCCTGCCTTTGTACTAAAGACGAGGGTGGCTGCAACCTTCTTAAGTTGATGGCAATTAGCAGCATCCCATGGGGCTCCTGGAAAATCGCCAATGCAATCACCGGGTTGCACAAAGTTTGGATGTCCCCTCCTTCTAAGCCATGTTTATAACAACCTCTTCTCAAGCAACCGCTGGCAGTTATTTTATGGGATTCAAGAATATCCAGGCTGACTGGATTAAGAAAGGTTTATTTATTCTTGCATTTGTGTTTTGCTTTATGATCAGAGTGTTTGATCTCATGGATCTGTCACAGAAGGAGGTCTCAGTTCCCTTCCAAGCTCTGTCACTGACATAGAGCATAATTTCACTGTATTTCCAAGTTACCCTCCCAGGTACCAAAGGACATACTGTTGGAAGCTGGCTATGGCAAGGGCTCTTTGCAGGAGTGGGTGCCTACTGCACCACTAACCTGAGTTAGTCACTGCTCCTTGCTTTCTCAGCACAAACCCCAGAAAATGAAAACCATCAGTGCAAGCTTACACAGCTGGGAGAGAAAGGTTGAACCACTTGCCCCCCCCCCCCCCCCCCCCCCTTCTTCCTTTCCCAACCTCTTCACTCCCTAACGAAGATACAGTCAAAGATCACTTCAGTGCCGGCAATCCTCCAATGTCTTTCCCACAGTGTCCCCTGAAGGACAAACCAGCAGTTGTGGGAAAGAGCCCTAAGCATTTTGGCAAACAAAGTCAAGGCACACGTCACAGATGCACAGAGGCAAGTGCAGGAATGGGGAGGACATGGTTACACAGCTCCTGCTGTGGTCACACCGAGACAAGGCTAGCTGGACTGTTCAGACCTGGATGCTCGTCACCCTGGTTAAACCAGACAGTGAAGATGTTCTGTGTGCATTTCCTGGCATGGAAGGGCTCCAAGGACAATGCCAGCAGCATCTTGCCACTCACACATCCCTTTAGAAAGCTGCATAGTAACTACTGTCAGTGCTTGCAGGGGGCCAAGACTCTTCCAGCGCTGCAACTGAGCAGGGATGGAGAGATTCAGGCTGTGCCACTGGCACCCTGCAGACTCATTGAGCGAAGTTGAGTCTTTTATGTTTCAGGTTCCCTGTCTGTAAAACCGAGACGTTTTTCCACGTAGAGATGTTGCAAGGATTAAGTCAATGTTTGCAAAGCACTTTTGGATTCCT